CGGCTGGGCTCGGCTGAGCTCGGCGCACGGCGGCCCGGGAGGGGGCGGCCCGGGGATTGGCTGCGCCCGGCCCCTCCCCGCCCGGCGCCCCGGGACCCTCGCTGGTGGTGACCGAGTGTGCTCGGTGGGTCCCCGGAGCCAGGGTCCACCCTTAGCTGCAGCTGTCGGGGTTGGAGGGCTGCGGGGTGGGGGCGCCTGACGCCCGCTGGGGCCCTGAGAACCGAGTTCCGCAGACTTGTTTTCTTCCTGGGGCTGCAACTGGGACACACACGGGAGCGTGATCGGATTGGACACGGCTTGGGCTGCTCTGCGTTTCATGTGCGCCGCTTTGCCCACCCAAACATCGTGCGGTCTTTCCCCGGGGATGGGTGGGGACGCCGCTCTGGGATGCGAGTGTGAGCGGTGCAGAACATAGGTCCACCTCCTGCCACCGGGGATGGGCAGCCTGAGGAGGGGTGTGCTGTCACAGCCACAGTGAAATGAAGTATGAGTCCCAGGCCGGCTAGCAGGCAGAGTTTTAAATCCGATTTAACTTTTCTGAGCCTTGCTTTCATTAGACAAATGACAGCACTGATGTCACATAGAAGTAGAATAGAAAGACTCGCCTAGGCCTCATGGGAAGAGGGTCAGGGAGACACCACGGGTGCCCTGGGTGGGAAAGTGCCATCTTCGTTGCAAGGGGTGAAGGGACATGATGGTCATAGCAGAGAGAAATGACATTTAAAGCAGGTCAGGTAAGCACCCATGAAGAGAAGCCACAGTTTGGTGGCACACGCCTGTAGTCTCAGCACTTAGGAAGCTGAGGCGGGTGGATCCCTGCAAACAGGAGGTCAGTCTGGGTCACATAGTGAATTCAAGGCCAGTCTGGCTAACCTAGCAACAGCTTCTCCCATGCACATGCGTGGGGGCACACACACACAGCAAAAGCTAATCCAGGGTCTGTTTGTTGTAGATTTTATGTCCTTGCTGGGGTTGGAAAGGGAGAAGACCAGGGGCTGCTGGTATAAATTTGTAAAGGAAAGGCCAGGTCTTCTGTACACAACTGTGTAACATTAGGATTGTGAAGTGGGAACTAGAACCTATAGAGTCCCAGTAAGGGGAGATGATATTTTGTTTGCTTTCTGACTATAACTAAATCTGTGAGACTGGGGGAAAGTATAGAGTAGAAGTGTGCTTGGCTCACATTCTGAGGAATGGGTACTCCCAGAGCAGGAGCCAGCATCGGCTCAGAGTTTGGTGAGGGCCTTCCCCTCTCTGAGCACCATAACATGGGAAAAGCATCGTATGCTGAGGCAGAATAAGCTTGCTAGTTCTAGGCCCTTCTTCTTCCGACGATACTAGCACCATAATGGGACATTCCTGCTATGACCTAATGCCAACTACCTATCCTCAGACACCCCATATCCAAGTACCATGGACTCATGAATTCGGGTATTGTTTCTGACATAAAGACTTTGGGGAAAACCTTCAAACCATCGCAGACACTGATAATCTAATTACAGACCTGAGGTAGGATTACAAAAAGAACAGTATAGTCTACTTGCCCCAAAAAATAAAGCCAGCTTCTATCTGCACAACCATCAAGGAAGACAGAATCATCCCTATTGGCCTGCTTAGCTTGTAACAAGCCAGTATAGTCTGGAACAATAGAGAAAATTGGAAAGTTTTTTGTTTGTTTGTTTCTCTCCTATCTACTGATGTTGGTTATCCAAAAGAAATATCAAATGGTTTCTATCCTCCTGGAATGTATTGTCTAGCTACAAAGAAGAGAAAACAGATGGTTAAAAGAAAGAGGAGAAGGGCTGGCGAGATAGCTCAGCAGACTAAGTGCTTACTTAGGCCAGCGCAGGGACCAGAGTTTGATTCCTGGCACCGCATGCTGCGCTGGCCCCACCCTGGGGTGCACTGAGCCAGCCACCAAGATCGAGTGTGGTGGCACATGCATTGGGGTAATCCCCAGTAATCCCAGCACTGGGGAGGCTGAAAACAGGAGGATCACTACGAATCCAAGCTGCATAGTGAGACCCTATCCCAAATATATAT